GCAAATGCAATTTTAGGTTGCATTAATAGAGGCATAGCATGCAAGTCACGGGAGGTGATAGTACTGCTCTACTTGGCACTGGTTAGGCCGCAGCTAATTTTGGTCACCAATATATAGAAAGGATGTGAAGAAACTGGAAAGGATCCAGAGGCAAGCAACAAAGATGATCAAAGGCACAGAATGCAACCCATATGAGCAAAGTCTGAAGAACTTGAAAAGAGGAGTTTGGAAAAGAGGTGATTAAGGGGGAAAATGATAGCAGTATTCAAATACTTGAAAGGTTGCCATAAAAAAGGTGGAGAAAAGTTGTTCGCTGTTGCCACAGAGGGCAGGACAAGAGGCAATGGGTTCAAAGTACAGCACAGCAGATGTAGATTAAATCTCAGGAAAAAGTTCCTAACTGTAAGAACAATAGAACCATGGAACAGGGAGTTCATGGAAGTTCCTTCAGTAGAGGTTTTCAAAAGGAGGCTGGATAACCATCTGTCTTTGGATGGTTGAGACACAACAAATCCTGCATCTTGGGAGGAGGTTAGACTAGATGACCCTTGCAGTCCCTTCTATCCCCATGGTTCTATGATTCTATGCTGCCCCACAGTTTGGACTATTCGGGTGTGAAGAGCAGTGCACACCAAAGTGCTGCACTGTAACTCGCCTGTTTGAACATTGGGTGCATGAACTAAAAGATTCCTGGTTCACATTAAAGTAATTCATTTACTTGATAAGTTGTTCAGGTTCACAGTGATGTGACTGGGAGCAGTATCTGATCTGTAGTATCTAGGGGTAACTTTGTGGCCGTGTGGTGTTTTGCTTTGTTTTATTTACAAACCATTTCAGCCCAGCTGTGAGCTCTTCTACCTCAGAGAAAACTGTATAATTTTTAACTAGAAAATCTGTCACTCTGCAGTGAGGATCTCAATAGAAATTAGCCATTCCTACATCTATCCTAAAGAACGAGTAAGCAACTCTAGTTTCTAAACGAACCTGATACCCCAAGAGGATATTAAAGCTTGTGGGCCTATGACAACCAAGATCATCATGAGGAAATACAGAAATTGAACTTTTGCATACACCCAGAACTTTTTTACACAGCTTTTAGTTTGAACTTAGTGTACAGCAAGACAATATGTGAGGTTAATAGACATTATTCCCATACCAAGGCTGTTTCTTTTAGAGAATCAATATAATTGGATAGAGCAATATATTTCTAATATCCAATAAATGAAATTTTAACCCAGAGCAGTAAATAATTACCCCCAACATGGTACATAATTCCCATGCACATGGGTAATATCAGTATAGCTACTACTGTGAGCAGAGCTGGAGATTTCAAATTATGGAACAAGTTATGTGTACCTGGGTTATAGGCTAAACTACCATATTATAGTATGGGGTATTTCACAATTATTTAGTAGCTTTATAGGAAATAGTGCTAACTTAAAGTCATTCCACTTCTTTACTATGTGATCACTTACATTTATTAGAAGCAATAGTAGTTGAGGACACTCAGCACCTGGCAGGAGACACTTTCTACCTTGCAAGAATGGACCCTTGCCTGCACTATGAAAACGACCCAGTGCTGGCAATAAGTGTCAATCAAAGGTGAAAGTGAGTTCTGAACATACTTAGCTGCAAATGTGGCCAAGGACAAACACTGTTCAGCATCATTTCAGAAACCATGGCTAAGTTCACGAGTCCTGATCACTACTTCCACTCCTGTTGCTCATATTCAGGTGCAAATTCTGAAAATCTCTAAGGACCAGATCCTTAAAGGTATTTAGTGTTAACTTCACTTGAAATCAATGGGAGTTAGGCACCTAAATATATTAGAGGATCTGGGCCAAACCCCTCCCGGGAGATGCTGAGAATTCTCAATTCCTCATGATATCAGCCTAAGAGCTCTATACCTCATAGGATCAGATCGTCAGTGTGCAGCTTTGGCCTTCCATCCTTTTAGCAGATGCCCAAAAGGCAAGATACAACACCAAGGAATGCTCTAAATGAGTGAACTGTATGAGCTAGATCCTGCAAACACTTACTCATGCAAGTAGTTCCATTCAAAACATAAGTACTGGTCTGAACGATTGGGATCTAAGCATGTGTTACCACAGGCTGGTGATAGCATTTAGAAGTTGAGAAGTAATGACTGCTTTATACCAGTGCTGCTAGGATACCTCAAGAGGAAAAAGTGGAGGGAAATTAATTCAAAGTATGAAAATACATAGATAAGATGCACAGGTAGATAAGGATTAAAGCAACCAACCATTCCTGGGTTGAGTTATCCATGGGCAAATGTACTCATTGTTTATCTAGTTCTTGATTTTTATTCTAGGGAGATGATGGAAAATCAGTGGGCAGAAACAAAACATGCATTAGCATAACAAGAAACAGTACCTGAACAGTACCTTTGATGGCAGGAGGAGCGTACACACTTTGCTTCCTCTGCTTAGGGGAGGCATTCTGTGACTAGGAATAAGAGAAAGAGGTTAAATAAACATAGAAGGAAAGTGTCAAACCATGTCAGACCATTTCCTGGGGAGGTGGGGGAAATCAAGTCTGCTAGTTATCAGTTATTCAGTCTTTCTACATTGCCTCTTTTCCCAACATGGCTTGTATTGTTCACATAGCCCTGTTTTCCCTCTGAGTTCCTATTAGTTCTGCTTCAGGCAGTGGTAGACAATCCAGACAATAATTATCTAATATGGTGGTGTGGTTATTCCGGATATGCTTCACGTGTGTTACAGTAATATTTCATGTAGCACGCCCTCTTGAATAAGGCATTTGCACTTCTAATAGAGAAATATCCATGTTACTTGGAAAACAAACTGGGAGATTTGCAATTTTGGGAACACTTTTCTTGCCTTGTGGAATATATATTGTTCCCCTTTCACCTGATCGCAGCCAACCTTATAGTAGATATGGGTCTGAAGTAACCCCCAGAATCTGAATACATACCCACCTACATCTACAAACTTTGTAGCCTTTGTTGATATCCAGAACTAAAGCACCTTTACACCGTACAATTGCTCAGAATTCACAAAGGTAACGGTATCAATGGTAAGAGTTCTTCATAAAGAAGGCATGTTGTATGAATCAGATCCCACTTCCTGGGATGCCACCTACCTATATGAAAAGCCATGATTAGATACAAAGAATTGTGTCTAAGGCCTTGTCTACACTTACCGGTAGATTGGCACTGCTGCAATCGATGCAGCGGGTGTTGATTTAGCGGGTCTAGTGAAGACCCACTAAATCAATGGCAGAGCACTCTCTGGTCGACTCCAGTACTCCATCTCTACGAGAAGAGTAAGGGAAGTCGATGGGAGAGTACCTTCGGTTTACACAGCGTGGTGTAGACTCTGCGGTAAGTCGGCCTAAGCCACATAACTTGGGTCAACTTACCGCGGTAGTATAGACAAGGCCTCAGGCAGTTCTTTTGGTTCCTGGGTAAAATAGGCCCAACTTTGTTTTAAAACAAGCCTGGATATAAAGAAGTGTTTTTCAGCATTAAAAGAAAGTATCTTATACAACTAACATTCCATATAAAATTGCTACCCATATGGGAAATATAAATTTACATGAATTGAAAGAATGAAAGATTTATTTTCATCATCATTCAGTAAAAGACATAGTGCAACCAAATAAATAAATAAATAGTAGAAGTGATAATCCAAAAGAAAAAAGCATCCAAAAAAGTAATGTTCCCACGTTCAATTCTAGAATAATTAAAGAAATACTGACATTCATAAAAGTGCACAATCAAACTGACGAGACCTCTTTTTTTCCAACAGATTGTCACTGGGTGACTGGGCAACAAAATGGCAGATGAAATTCTGTGTTGAGAAATGCAAAGTAATGCACATTGGAAAATATAATCCCAATTATACATACAAAATGATGGGGTCTAAATTAGCTGTTACCCCTCAAGAAATATTTTGGAGTCATTTTGGATAGTTCTCTGAAAACATCCACTCAATGTGCAGTGGAAGTCAAAAAATCTAACAGTATGATAGGAACCTTTAGGAAAGGGATAGATAAAAACACAGTAAATATGATAATGCCACCATATAAATCCATGGTATGCCCACATCTTGAATACTGTGTGCAATTCTGGTTGTCTCATCTCAAAAAAGATATATTAGAATTGGAAAAGGTACAGAGAAGGGCAACAAAAATGATTAGGGGTATGGAACAACTTCCATATGAGGAGAGATTTAAAAGATTGGGACTCTTCATCTTGGAAAAGAGACAACTAAGGGGCAATATGATAGAAGTCTCTAAAATCATGAATGGTGTGAAGAAAATGCATAAGGAAGTATTATTTACCCCTTCACATAACACAAGAATCAGAGGTCATTCAATGAAATTATTAGGCAGCAGGTTTAAAACAAACAAAAGAAAGTATTTCTTCACACAATGCACAGTCAAACTCATTGCCGGGGATGTTATGAAGGATAAAAGTATAACTGGATTAAAAAAATAATTAGATAAGTTAATGGAGGATAGGTCCAGCAATGGCTATTAGCCAAGATAATCAGGGATGCAATCCCATGCTTTGGATTTCCTTAAGCCTCTGACTGCTAGAAGCTGGGACTGGACAACAGGGGATGGATCACTCAATAGTTGTCCTATTTTGTTCATCCCTTCTGAATCATCTGGCATTGGCCACTGTTGGAAGACAGGATACTGGGCTAGACGGACCATTGGTCTGACCCAGTATGGCCGTTCTTATGTTCTTATTGAAACTCTCCTAAAATAATAAATAGTTTAAACATTCAAATTATATGCTTTTAGTTGGGCTTGATGTAAGGGAATTCTGCTGACACATTTAAGTTTGGTACAACACTAAGGCCTTGTCTACACTCAAAGGTTGTACTATTCCAGTATCTAACTAATATGTAACTATACCTGAATAGCTAAAGCTATTGTGTGGATGTAATTATACTGGTATAAAAGTGTCTATAACCATCTATTTTATTCTGTATGGGAAGGGGACTAAGCTATACTGGTATAAGCCCCCTTTAAATGGCATAACTACATCTATATTAGGAGTTGTACAAGGTATAATAGTTTCATAAAATGTCACATCACTGACCAAAACAATTATAGAGGTACAAAAACTGGGTAGACAAGGCCTAAGAGAACTATTCTTTCATCTTATCAATTTCCTATTGTATTTTATCATAGTGATGCAATGGAAATTCATCATTTTCTTAAATATTCACTTGAAAGGCCTCTTTATGTTTCTCTGCGTGTTTGAGATTAGTACACTGTCAGTGTATTTTCTAACAGATCTAGTCTTTCAACAGACATTAATTTAAGTTGGCTCTTAGGAAAAACACTTTCACATAAATAAGGCCAATACTATTATCCTATTGTATCATAATGGATGGAAAGATGCTGTTTATGAATAAAACATTTGTTGTATTCAAAGAGAGCTATTGACACTCAGTGTGTGATGCCATTGATCCTCACCACAGCAAGGCTTCAGAAGTCTGTATTTGGATCTAAGTCTGAAGCAATACTGCCCATTGCTATTTAAAGCAGTGCTTGCCTCCCTAAAACACCAGAACAAGAGAAAGAGATCGAAGGGAGGTGGGAGAGTTTGGGGGAGAGAGAGATGGGACTGGAGGAACTAACCTTAGACTTCATTGCAAACGTAATACTTGAGCTAACATCCACTGAAGTCAATGGAAAGATTAATTGATTTCAATGAGCACTAGTTCTGGCCCTCATACAGAATTAGAAAGGAAGCTTGGAATCCCTAATCTCCCCTGTACTACTGAATGACGTTTGCTGTGCTCATTAACCTGAATAGAGACTAATGGAGAAATTGACCAGAACTAAAGGAGCAACAGGTATCTGTACAAAGCCATTTATCTAGAAGCTTCATCCAGTAAAAGCTGTGTCAGTTATGGAAGCCGGATAATATAAACAATTGTATAAACCAGCAAAACAAGAATTAATATATTTCAAAATGGTTGTTAAACAATAGCCCACTATTTAAAAAATGTAACTAACTTACTTCTCCTTGTGAGTTGTTCTTTCTCTTCTCATCTATTTCTATAAAAGGGAAAAGATTCAATTAGAGAAAAGGGAGTACCAAAAACTTGTTTTTTCCAGGGCAAATATTGTGGACCGTATTCTGATCTCAACAGTATTTCCACTGTAAATAAGGAATAACTCCACTGATTTACAAGTTTCACCTAGCCTTTGTCTGTCCTGTAGGTCAAAGAGATCAACACCCTCTAAACATATAAGTGCTTTGGCCAGATTTCCAGAAGTGCTCGGCACTCAACAGCTCCTGTTCAGAACAATAGGCGATGATGAGCTCTTTTGAAAATTTGTCCCTTAGATTGCAAGCCTTTGGGACAGGAACTTCACCTTCTTTTATGTTTGCAAAACACCTAGTAGTTTATGGGTACAAATAGAAATTAATTAATAATCATTCATACCAGCTACAAGCTGTTAAATTGTTAATATAACAGCAAAATGACATCACTGAAGAGTACCTTATAATTATACATAAAATTAGCAATTCTAAATATAATTATTTCTAAATTTACAGTTTAAAAGTTTCATGATAGCACACTGGTTTAGGGTCAGAAGTGACCACGGAGTGTTTCTTGGTATTACAAAGTGCTGTTGGTTAATTTACATGGTATACACTGTCTCCATCAATGACCTAAATGTAGTACTTCTAAAGAAAGTAAATACCTCCTATAATTTATCTGTTACACTGTGAAATGCTGTGCCTGGGATAGGAGGTCAATTGCATCCTAACACCTAGTTGCAATCAATTGGTCAAAAAGTAAGTTGTCAGTCCTCAAGGATGATTCGCCAATTACTACACTATCTACTGGGCAAGACCTTTGATGCCACATAATTATAGAGCTCTAAAATAAAGTGACATTAAAATATAGTGCGACAAATCTCTCACCAAAAAGACACATGGGCCCCACCCTAAGATCTTCCATCCTAAGATGCCCCTGTGCACTTCCCACTAAAGTCTGGTGAATTTGTGCATGCGTACCTGAAGAGAAAATAGGGCCCAGTGAGAGAGAGATTATTGTATCAGAGCCAGGAAGAATATATTTAATTAATTTATTTATAGTGTTTTCTATGGTGCTCATCTCTTTGGTATCTGAGAACTGCACAAACATTAACTGATTAATTGCAATTCCTCCACATATGACTGCATAAGACATGCATTAAAAGTACTGATATTCCACTGTATAAAGGGTGAATTAAAACAGGCCCTAAATATTAGAGTTCATTACTAAAGAAGGGGGCAGCCTTGGGCCAGCAGATAGGGTGCTAGGCTTAGAGTCATGGGGCCTGTTCCTGCCATTGGCCTGTTGTGTGACCTGGGGTAAGTTATTTTTCAGTTAACTATCTATAAAATGGGGATAGTGATATTTACACTTCTTCGTAAAGCACTTGGAGAGCTAAAGATTGAATCACTAAATAGGAAATCATTAATGTGGGTAAGAGAGACATTTGATTTCAATGGGAATTGAGAGTGTCAAGGATTTTCATGATCAGGACCCCATGTTTCATTTTGAGCTGGAGTTTGAATTAATCCAAAGCTCAGAACAAAGGTCAGTGAAAGCTGAGTTTGGTGACATTCCATCTTAAATCTCCTCAGGATTGTGAATTTCGCAACAAAACTGGAGCTGAGCCTTGGGCTGGGAACAAAACCTGCAACCAGTAAAATTTTGTCTGGTTTCAAGTTTCATTACTTAAGGTTTGCACAGCTCTACTCAACAGAGCCTGCACTTTTGCCGTTCTTTTCAGCAGGGTCACATTACACCTATCAGCAATGGACATTACTGCTAAACCAGCCTGTTCACCTTACTCACAGCAGCACTTACACTGAAGTCAGTAACATGAACAGGATTTGACCATGTGTAGGTTTAGAAAAAGCCACTTAAGTTGCTCTAATGCAATCAGCACCAAATATCCAGCATCGCACCTCTGTGAAAATCTGGGAATGAACAAAATCCATTCAATTATTTTTTAATTAAGTCACTGAAATCATATGACTGATTGTGTTTGCAATTTCAGTAGAGTGGGGAGATCAGGAAACAGAAAGGAGGGGATTCAGCTTAGAGCTAAAGGAGACAGGCTTGGGGCAGCAGCTACAAACAGTGCATTCAATGAGTTGAGAGGTGAAGGGAAGAAAGAAGAGGGAGCGATGGTTGGAGAGGCAGTGGTGATGGAGATTAGTTGCCAGGAGGAGTTGAGATCAATGGGACAGATGGACAGTTTGGTGGAAGAGAGTAGACTATAAACTTTAGCCTTTGGGTAAGGGAGAAAGAAGAGGGGGGGAAAGAGAAGTTACAATGGATCTGATCAATCTCAGTCAGTGAGATTGTACTCAGAGAGTAAGGATGGGGCAGAAGGTATTATGGGGATGCTGAAGGTATAGGAAAGAGGCTGGAGTTGTGGGTGAAAGAATCAATGCAGCTGGAGAAATGGAGCTGTTTGGCAAAGAATACGGAAGATCTGAAGAAGGGGAAAACAAATGTATAGTAGAGGTAGTAGAGGGATGAGCGGATAAGGCCTGGTCAACATGCAGCCTGATGTCCACATTGTCCCAGGATTTCCCACAAATGTGTTCCGCTGCATGACACTAGGAGCAGAGGAAGTGGACAGTGGGAGTGAGCCCGGGGTGAAAGGATGGATTTTTTTGGTGAGAAAGAACTGCAAAGAGTGGAGAGTGAAGTGGAGTGAATGAACAACTGAGGGCTATCTACATGGGGAAATTAACCAGCAGAAGTATACCAGTGTAATTATAGTGCTATAGTTATACCTACATGGAGACAGTTTGATTTAAGAATGAGTGCCTTTTTCTGAGTTAGCTTGTGTTGCTTTGAAAGCAGTAGAAGCGGTATTGGGAAAAAGGCACTTGTAGTCCCGATTAAGAGTGTCTACATGGTGAATTTTACTGGTATAACTATAGTGGTATAATTATGCTGGTATAGTTCTGTCAGGAAATTCCCCCATACAGAAAAGACCCAAGTCATTAGAGAAATGGAAGAAAAGGCAGGCAGGAAGGGGAAGAGTATGATCTTTGTGAACTAACTGAACCAGGCATCTCTGTCTCCTTAATAAAAAGCCAAGTGAATGACAGAATTCAATATATTGTGGGTTGTTATGGTGACTTGGTATTAATTGCTAAATCCCCATGAACTCAGTTAAGAGTGGGTAGCTTGATATCATTACTAAATTGCTCTTTGGGTGCTATCTCCCCTTGAGAGAGTTCAAGGAATGATTTAAAACAAGTCATAAATATTGGAGCTGATTAATAATGAAAGGAGAAATCCTGGCCCCACTGAGGTTAATGACAAAACTACAGTGGGGCCAGGATTTCACCCAAGGTCTGTTATGATTATACAGAAAAAGAGACATTTATTTGGACTCACATTTAATACCCTGACAATTACCTCATTAAGAATGAAAATTATTTTGGCCAGGCTTTTATGAATTGAAATTCAGGCTATTTACACCTGCTATAATTTCCCTTACAGATTTCATCACACTCTGTTATTTGTAAGTATTTTTTGTGTCACTCCATGTTCTTCCATCATACAACTATACATCATTTTATTACATTTTAAATCTGAATATATGGCATTTTTCCATACTGGATTTTAATGTGGCATATTAGAAATGGATTTGGATAGCTGGGAACAGACTTGTATGTACCCAAGATATTTTAAAGCAGATGCACTCGAAATTAGTGGTGAAGGTTTGATTTGATTTTACCACACCTGTGCTGAAGAAAGGTGGGAAAAGTTTGTCGACTCTTAATAACATTTGAAGCTCAAGGGATTCTAAATTCATGTGAATTAAGTAAAGCTCAGTCTCTGGCAGAGTAAACAAAGACTTCAAATATAGGGCTTCACTTTGCTCAGTGGTTTCAGAAAGAGCAGTGTTCCATTTTTATAAACCCAGGGCTCAAACCTGAAGCCCTGTGATGGGCACTTTTATCAGTCTATCTACATAAATAACAGTCTTACATGAGGCCTGATCCTGAAGTGAGATTCATGGAGGTAGATCTCTGCACTTTGTGGAGCTCCATTGAAATCAAGGGGGGTCCAGCCAGATGCAGGAGTCTGGCTGCCCAGATCCCATTTCAGGATCAGAGTCTTGCTCATTGCAAACTCCCACTCACTTTCACTGGCATTTGAGGGAAAGGTGCAAGATTTGGCCCAGTGACATTTCTGCAAAATGGAGGAAGACACATTGGGGAATTCTTTTACTGAAAGTCTTCAGCGCAGATCAATTTCTAATGCTTATTAGCACAGACATATCCTCATACCCACATCAGCATGCAGTTAGTTGAGTTACACCAGAGTCACCCTGTTATAAAAGAGGTCAGAAGCTGGCCATGCTCTGGGTGGCAGTCAGAACGACCACAGCTATATTTGATTATCAGTTTCCCAGCAAATCCCTATTAGTTTTGCAAAGAAACATGACCATACTGTGCAGAGAGCAATGTGGTCTCTTTAGAATGAGAATGGAGACAGGAAACATGAGCATTACACATCTGCCTCCCTTCCCTCTTCTCCCATCGGATAGACTTAATGCACTCACGGCAACTGTGCAGGGCACGAGGTGACATATTTTAAATGACTTGGCCTCTGATCTCACCAGTGGGCTTCCCAATGGAGTCATCCTGCAAAATCATATCTCATCAGACTAAGTAATCTGCTTCCTCCTCCAGTCGTAAGAACAAATAAAAACCTCTGCTCCAGTTTTCAGTTGGGCACAGGGAAGGCAGAACAGGTTGCAGAGAGCAGTTGCCAGCACAGAAAAAGCTCGGTGAGTGGCAGGTATAATTGCTGAGAAATGTGTGTGCGTGCTCAGAAAAAACCCTGCAGTTCACTCTACTCCACTAGGAGGCACAATTGGGTCACACTAGACTCTCCCGGCAACCTTGCCCCTTGCAATATTCCTGTACAACAAAGGATCAATTTCTGCCCTGGGTTCAGCCTGGGCAGCCCAACTGTTTATTAAATAGCAGAGAGGAAGGATAAATTTGCTGTTATGACACT